TTTTTTTTTTTTTTTTTTTTTTTTTTAGAACTAAACAAACAGAATTTAATTAGGTAGGCTTTGACTCGGAAGTTGGGCCTTTTGGGCCTGACTTAAAGAGTCCAGCAAGGAAATAAAGCCTGATCTAATTGGGCCTGTATTTGCTTAAATATTGAGCCCAAATAGTTGTACAAATTCATCGTAAACTAAGGTGGAAGACAAGGTTCTAGATATCTTAATTAATTCAAAGCTTGAAAAATCCAAACTGATTAAAATCGTAGCCTTTGTCACAAGAAATGGGAACATTCAAGTTAAATAAGCAAAATAATAATAATAATAAATTTAGAAAAGGAATTTAAGGGTTTTGTGTTGGCTGTGGTTGGGAAGGCAGGGACTGGTTTTCCCATACCTCTTAAATCCACTTCTACCCAATTTGATGGAATTCAGTGAGGCAAAAGCACTTTCTTTTATTTTTATTTTTATTCTATTTATTTATTTATTTATGCAAATAATTCATTTGCTTTCTCTCTCTACATGGAAGGGAAGGTTCAATCTGCAATAAAATAATTTGAGAGGGCATGTGGGCAGCATTAGAATTTTGATATCCAAAATTCCCAATTTGCTATTTGTTTATTCAGTATTTTGCAGTCTTTTTAAAGAACAAATCAGACCATTTTTCTGTCTGTTGAATCCAATTAAACAAATCAGAAAGGAATTTTTAAAATTTCTTTAAAATTTTAATTTAATAGATATCTTTATCATAACATGCTTGGCTAACGAATAACGTGTTCGTATACGTTTCATATACTCGTTGGCACAATAAATATGTGTTCATGGTTATAAGTCCAACATTTGTTAGATACATATTGAAGGATGTTGTTTTGTTGTGTTTTTTTAAGAACCAAAATTTAGGTTTTGAGCATTGTTCGTGGATTTGATAAAATCCCACCTAATCAAATCTAAAACTTTTCGGCATATTATTATTTGGATGAAAGTTTTGTGGGTGTTTGTCATTTTGTGCTGATTTGTGGAGAAAAAATAGAGTGAGGACCTAAGGAATATTCAGAGCACACTCAAATTAAATTAAATTAATCTGATTTGTTTTGTTTCCTATTGACTTTTGCCCATTTGCTGCTTTGCTGGTTTCCATTCCCTCTGGCTCCTCTGTTACGAGACTAACCCACCATTTTCAACCTACCTTTTTGTACCCATCCTCAACTTTGTGAGCTCCTTCACACAATTGGACCTGGTACCAATATTTTCCTGCATGACATGGTTAGGTTATAACTATCCCTACAAACTAATCGGGTCTTTCTAAATTACTTTGTTATCACTTACTTCAAGAGGTTACTCAACGTAGAATTGCTTCAAGTATAGCAAATTTACTTGTGAAGTTTCTATAACTGACTCACTGAAAATTTTGTGTCACGGTTAATCCATGTTTCTAGTATCACACTAACAATATTTCAATTTTAAACAAAGAAAATATCCCTACACCTCCCGTGTTTAAAGAGATTTTGCCTCTCAATTTTCGAGCTATAATGAACTTCAACAAAGAAATGAGCTAAATAGTAAGTTTAAAATGAAACAAATCTCTGACTTCTTCGATAGATCTTCGCCTTACAACTGCAAACTACTGTGAGAACTCGTTGCAGTTGTGTATCGAATACGTGACTTTAAAGTAATAATTGAATTTTCTCTGTCAGCCAATCATGTTCATTCCTTTCTCCTCCAAAAAAAGAGCAATAATTGTGTTCAAGTTAGGCAAGAAGAGGCAAGGTCAAATTGGATAGGGATGGCTGTGGAAGTAGTCATTGTTGAAAGAGTTGAGCAAATAAATCAGACACACTGTTCATGATGTTCTTAGAAACTCAACTTTTTTGCTCTAATGTTGTTTCCCATTGCATTGACAGTCACAAAAAGGAAATAAAAAGAAGATGAAAAGAAGAGAAAGGGAAACAAAACCCATCTCTTCAGAGATCCATTTCCCTCTACATTGCCTCATCTCATCCCTATTCCTTTCCCTTCAAACCACCTGTGAAAGAAGCAGATTGGACACTTTCAGTTCATAAATTCCAATACTCAAATCAAACCCAGTGATTGATTAATCATGAATTCCCAAGAACACAAGCAAATAACTCAACTGGTTCTTTTGCAATCTATTTCCTGATAGAGAAGATTGAAGGAACCCAAAATGCTCTGTAAATGATGATCTTTCCTGTATAACCAGCAAGAACACAATGTCAAGTAATATGAATATGAACCTTTCTTTTTAGTGAGGGAGGGAAGAACAGGCTGCTAAGTACCTCAAAATGACTGGTTTGAGATAAGCCCAAGAAGCTTTCCATTGAGCCTTGATTGGTGAAGTTATTCTGAAGATTTGAAGGAAGCAACTTTAATGAGTACCCAATTGATGGATAATCATTATAGACAAAGCTTAAAGAGATTGTTCAAGAAACTTACAGCAGTGAAGTTGTGAGCAGGGGAGCTAGCAGTGTCATCTAGGAAGGAAGATGGCTGATCATGGCATTGATATTCTGTAATTTTCTGCTTCTTTCCCTTGTTCTTCTCCGGTGTTACTGACTTAGAAGCATGAGAGAAATGGCCATCATCTTCATGAGAGCAAGCCTCGTCTTCGAAGAAATGTGGAGGCCCAGAAGATGCATCAGAAACCATGGAAAGATCCTTCTCAACCTCATGTTCTTCAGTAGCTTCAGCTTTCCAATATCCATCACAGAAACCACTTTCTCGGCTAACAATGCGATCAGAGCCGCCATGAGAAAGAAAAGATTGCTCCAAATACAGAGTCCAACCAGACTCACACCCACTGCTACTCTCAGAACCCAACAAATCCATAATCCCAACTCTTTTTTTTTCTCTCAGGACTTTTATCAAACAGGTTGTGTGCAACAACCCAATTCAAGAAGAAAACAGAGACTAAATCAAAATGAGATTCCAATTCCCACAAACAAGATTTCAGCAACCAAAATGGGGTGTAAGCAATCTAATGAACAGAAATCCCAAAACAAAAAACAGGGTTTGTCCTGAGGATTCTCCTGGAGTGAAATGAATTGAATCAAAATGAAAAAAAAGTGCCAGTTGGGGTGTGGTGGGTTTATAGTGTTGATGATGCACGTAACAGAGAGAAAGGCCACAACCTCTTCACATGCAAGACAGCGAGGCATTAGTACGCTCTTAAAACCAAAACCAGGTACACGTCCATATCTCCTTCTACAGTAAAATGGATATCTATTCACACATTCAATTCCCCTCTCTCTCTCTCTCTCTCTCTCTCTCTCTCTATCTCTTCAGTTTGTGACACTGTTTGGTCTAATCAAGCTGGTTCGGTTAAAAAATGATATCTGGAAACGTGGGGTACTCGCCTGAAAACGCTACGGGAGAAGCGATTGTTTTTGGTTTTAGTGTCCACAAATAGAAACGATTTGGCTTTGCGCACTGTACGAGACAAATCAAATCTCCACCACCACCTCTTAATTCCTTTTCTGTTTGCGCCGTTCTTCTTTCTTCCCTTCTCTCTCATTGCCGAATCAAAATTTCGCAATGAAATGCCTAATTGTTCGTTGATTTCGTGTTCAAATTCGGATGGAAATCCACAATTTCTCGTTCCGATTAGGGTTTCTTTCAATTAGTTTTGTGCTTTTGGAGCAGAATTTTGGCGGCCGGTTTTGTTTGTGGGAGAAAGGGTTTGGGCTCTTAATTCCCATGATCTTAATATACTTTATAGTTTAATTAATTAGGTATTTTGAACTAAATAAAATTAATTAGGTTTTAAATTCCTTCTTTCAGAAGTCGATCATGTCACTGTCCCAATAATTCAACTAGTTAAAACACATATTTTCGATGAAATAGTAGAAAATTGAATACCTCTCCCGACACACTGAATTAAGAAAAAGACATATTTACCCTTTAAAATTGAGGTTCAAATCTACAAAAACATAGAGTCAGTGTCGGTCGAAGTGCTCAAGTTAAATTAAAGAGAACGACATAACAAGAAAACGACGTTTGTGGTGGCATATAAATGAAATATCAACGAGTGTAGGTAGAATAAAATTATCACGACCCCATATGCTAAACGTCAATCTTATCTCCAAAAACCAACTCATTCATTACTTAGATTTGTTGACCAATAAAGAGGTCGGCATTGCTAAAAACACGAAGGATCTGGAAGGACAGATGTCATCAAATTATATCGTAAGAACCTTGGTTCGGTTTATAATGTAGCTATCACAAACACGAGCGTGTAGATTTGAATTTACGATCTATTAAAAAACGTAAAAATGTCTTAATCACCAAGCTGTGTTTCAACCGAGCAAGTCCATCGATTAGGTTTGCTCGTAAGAATATTTTAACCACCGAGCTGTGTTTCAACGAAGTGGGTCCATCGACTAGGTTTGCTCGTAAGAATGTCACGTGTATCTCTCTCTCTCTAAAACATGAAAGAAAACACACCGTCGTCTCTACCCTTTTCAAGAAATACGCTC